CGCCTAAGAGCGTGTTGCTGGTGGTGTAGAACACAGAGGAATCCACAGGAGATCACAAGGATGTAACAAGGAAGGTAGTGTGTTCAGGGCTAAAAACAAGGTGGAGAATGTTGGTGAGTGTTTTACGCCCTGATACTAAGTATAGAAGAGACACTAGATGATATGGCGGGTCTCGGTCCAATTTGTTAATTCTGGTTTGTGGGAACAGATTGAATTATTAGAGTTTCCGGTTAAGCTGGTTTAATCCTTTGTCGTTATAAGGGGATTATATTGTTAAGCTTGTTGTAACAGATCGCACACAGTCATCTTCTTCCTCGAGCTTCTCTGATTTTGAGAGCTCGTTCCTTGTTGATAGTGGATTTCTGGTTACGAGCCGGCTCCGGAGCAGTAGTGCTTCATCTCAAAGGCGAAGCTCCGGTAAAACCTGCGTGTGTTGTTTTCGTTTTGTTTCGGTGTTTTCTTTCGTGTTCTTGAGAGTGATAACGTGAGAGAAACGAAGTAATCAAATCCGTTTGAGCTGAGAGATTGAATCAGAGTGAGCTAATAATAGATACTCCATGAAGATATTCTTCAAAATAAGGAAGCAGAAGTATCTCGAGGCATTAGATAAGTAAGTAACGTGAGTAGTTAAAAGCTAACATGAGAAGAATTGTATTCGGTCTTTTGCGAATTACGGTGTGGTTTTTGTAGGCATGATCGTCCAAAGGCTGTGGAGATTTTAGTGAAAGATTTGAAAGTGTTTTCCACTTTTAATGAAGAGCTTTTCAAGGAAATCACTCAGCTCTTGACCTTGGAAAATTTCCGGTAGTGTTTGTAAGAAGTTTGAGGTTAAACTATTTTTGCAAAAGAGGATTGAGAGTTTTAAGATGTTGAACTTCAGGGAGAACGAGCAGTATTCCAAGTACGGAGATACAAAGTCAGCAAGATCTATCATGTTAATGGAACTTAAAAAGTTGATTGAAGCAAATCCATTGTTTCGCGATAAACTGCAGTTTCTTACACTTAGAAATTCACGGCTGAGGACGCTGATTAACCAGAGGTATTGATTGTGCTTTCTTGTTCACTTCGAGTTTTCAATTTTCAGCTGCTTTAACTTGTATTATTTTTATGTGTCTTGCATAACTTGCAGCTTGAATTGGCAACATCAGCTTTGTAAAAACCCAAGACCAAATTCTGATATAAAGACACTCTTTGTCGATCACTCCTGTCGCCTACCAAATGATGCACGAGCACCATCCCCTGTCAATAATCCATTGCTTGGATCATTACCAAAAGCCGGTGGATTTCCTCCTTTAGGTGCACACGTAAGGGGTACGTTCATTTCCAGATTTTCTATGACCACAATTTCTGCTGATTTTGGTCCTACTTACCTTCACATAGCGTTCTTGACTTGTCTTCTTGTCTCCAGCCATTTCAACCAACACCTTCTCCGGTTCCGACACCTCTTGCTGGTTGGATGTCTAGTCCTTCCTCTGTCCCTCATCCAACTGTGTCGGGAGGAGGCATTGCTCTTGGTGCTCCATCCATCCAAGGTAATTTTTTTTTTCAAAAAAGGCTGTGTGAAACTATGGTCTTTCAAAATGTATCCTTGCCTTTTTAAGGATTTTTAAGTTGCATCTGTAATCTATGTAACATTTTCTCCGATTTTGGTCTTAGCAGCCTTGAAGCACCCGAGAACTCCTCCAACTAATTCCAGTGTAGACTATCCATCAGGTGACTCGGACCATGTCTCAAAAAGAACAAGACCTAAGGGAATCTCTGACGAGGTGACAATAATCTCAACCAAATATATACCTTTTTCTCATAAGTACTAGTTTTATTCAATTGATAATGTGAATTTAAAACATATTTCTTCTTTGCTTCCGCAAATGTAGGTGAATCTAGGTGTGAACATGTTACCAATGACATTCCCAGGGCAGGCTCATGGTCATAGTCAAACCTTCAAAGAACCTGATGACTTGCCTAAGAAAGTAGCGCGGACTTTGAGCCAAGGCTCATGTAATGTCCCACAAAATGATCCAGCAGAAGCCAAGGTAAGGCTCGATAAAAAGCTCGGATCAGTTAGATAAGTTTTACGCAAAAACCTAAGTAAGCACCTCGGTGACTAAGCAGCCTGCTTGCTTGTCAGCAGGCAAGCAACGTGCTAGGCTGCTTGGTAACCGAGCAGGGTGCTTGCTCTGGTCATGGGTAGATCGTGGGTAAACCCGTGCTAGGATCGTGCTCGAGGGTGTCGACCACACGCCAGTGCGTGTTGCGCACACGCCTGGTCTTATGCATCATCACCACCTCGTGTCAAGCCTAGGACGATACCCGCGGGTGAAGAATGGGCAAGTAGCCGGGAGCTGTCCAGCTGCTTCACCTGCTTGGGCGTGCCTATTTAAAGGTCGGCCCGACCTAGTAAGCAGGAGACACGAGAATTTCTGCCTTGTCCAAACATAACTTCTTTTCACCGTAAACTTTCATTGCAAACGGTAGCCTAGTTCGTGATCGTCCCATCCGATCAGTCCGTCCGAACCGAGTAGTCTATTTTCTAGTCTACCGCGAACCATAGAGTAGTTTCACCGCGAGCCTTGTCGAACATGTTTGAGAAAACTTAGGGTAAGTTTCCCGTGATCGAACTATAGTTTTTCCGAAGTGATTTTTCGTGCTAATCATGATTCTAACCTTAGTTTCTTGATCCAATGCTTGGTTCCATCTTAAAATCGTAGGATCATAATTGGCTAGACTTCGAAAGATCTAGAGATAGTCCACGGCAAGCTCAGTTCCAAGTTAGGTAAGATCCGTGGGCTTTACCATCAAATTTTCCTTAAGAAAACTCTAAGTCTTACCTTAGTTAATTCGTGAACCTTTGGAACAGATTCCAGCTCAAAGACTAAGGCAAAACCGTTCGTAAAAGTCCTTAGCCTTTGTGGCTTTGGGCTAAAGGATACCTTGTGATTTAACGTGAAGGGAAATAGTCTACGCGAAAGACCTTATATTGACATTGCATAACTTATCGCATTTTTTCGTTAGATTTGCTTGCTTGTGTGTCGATTGTTATTTTGGGTTTCATTGGGAATTGATTATTGAATGTTAGCGGAGCCTAGACTCACTGAGCAACTAGTGCTCACGACTCTACTTATGTTGCAGGTAACCATTAGCGGGTAGACCACCGAGAGCCAAAGGAACGTTAAGAAATCCAGCAGTAGATTTTCTTGTCTTTTGTAAATGAATAATGTTTATTATGTACGTGATCGTTTTGGAGTGTTAGACTCACAATTGTATATACTTGTATCACGTTTGAAACTTATGTATAAATTATATATAAAATTGAGTTTGCATAAATTCGGGTTTCATGTGATACTAGTCTTTGTCCGGACGAACTAACCATTGTGTATGTCTCGGGTTGGTAAGCCTTGAGGTGTATTCAATGGGGATGGACGCTTAAAAGTCTTATCTAGGGAATTTGGATGTGTTCCGAAAACCTCTGATCGGACATCTAAGTGTTCGTCAGTGGCGTTCCCGGTCTAAAAATGTTCAGGGGCGTTACAAAA